AACGAAGCTGTAGTATGTTACAAGTATGGTTGTTGATTGGTGGCCGTAGTATGCTATGGTTATGATTGTTGGTTGATAGTCGCAATATGTTACACGCTATGGTTGTTAAGTATTTGAGTGTTCAGGTCTGAAACATTAAATCTTAACTATAATTTCTTATTGAGTTGGAAATAATCACCCTTGATATATTTGGTTTTATCCATCAATGATATCTAACTTTGACCCCCCCAAAAAAAAACTTTCAAATGTGGGTATTAAAGAAAAAAAATCAACATATTTAGATTTACAATTCCGATTCGTAGCTCGAAAGACGGAGGTTCGAATTTGGCTCGACACCAAAACGACGTCGTTTTGATGTTTTTTTATTTTTTTTTTTTTTCGCGTTTTTCTAAAGATGAAGGAGAAGAAGAAAAAGAAGAAGAGAAGAGGAAGAAGGAGCTGGGTCTGCTGCGTTGCTGGTTCGTCAACATCAAAAAAAAAAAAAAATTGTTGATCAACATCAACAATTTTTTTTCTGAACAATTTTTTTTTTTGTTCATCAACATCAACTAGCTAGATTGCTCTATTTTTGCTTAACCCAAATAGTTGATTTCGTGCGGTAGTAGCAAATATTGAGTCAATTTGGTGCAAGTTTGATGTTATTTTGCCTGAAGTGAAACCACCTTCTCATGAGGAGGTGTTGTTTATTTCACGACAGGCAGCTCAATTGGAGCTTTCACCCATGAAAACACCAGTGGATTCCTTTCTGGGTCCAAGATCTTTTTCCCAAGCACTTCTTCCTGAGCTCTGTAGGAGCCGAACATGACGACCATCATAATCCCCCCTAGCAACGCTATACTTCCATTCTCGACCTGATGGATTGCCATCAGGAACGAATTTCTTCATTCCCTCTTCCAGCACTTGCAGTTTTGCATACACTTCTTCTGGTGACTCCTCTAGTGCTTCCCCTTTGACTAGTGATCACTTTTCTCATGCTGTCAAGCTGTTGCACCAACAAAATGTTGGTTTCTGCAGATCCAGATCACCATCATCAACATCTTCATCAACAATTTTTTTTTCCCCTTTATATTCAATCTAGATCAACATCATCAACAATTTTTTTTTTCCCCTTCATCTTCAGATTTTGAACATCATCATCATCATCTTCAACATCATCATCATCTTCATCAACAAAAAAAAAAAATTCCCTTTCATCCTCAAATCCAGATCTACTGGAAAGGGGACCGCCATCACCGACCGATCACCGCCATCACCGATCGCCATCATCGCCTATCACCGACCGCCCCCTTCTCTCTTCCTCTTCTTTTCTTCTTCTCCACTCTTCCTCTTCTTTTCTTCTTCTCCTTTCTTCCTCTTTTCTCCTTCTCTCTCTCTCTTTTCTGTCTCTCTATTCGAAAAGCAAGAAAAGGAGAAGGAAAAAAAAAAAATCGAAACCCAAAACGACGTCGTTTTGGGTTTCGAGCCAAATTCGAGCCACCGAATTTCGAGCTACGGATCATTTTTCTTAGATTTAAAAAAAAAAGAAAAGAAAACGAAATAGTGTGCGGTACAATCCACTTAATCCAGCCGAATTGGTTAAATTAATAATTATTAAGAAATTAATAAAAATAAATAATATTCTCTCTTATCTCAGTTTATTTATTTATTATAAAAAAATTAATTATTAAGGAAACATATAATTATTATATTTTAATTTAAATTTTAAAATATTTTTTTTACCATTATTTTCTCTATTTGAATTTTAAAATGTATTTATAATAATTTATAAAGATAATTTTAAAATCTAATAAAATTTAACATTTCAAAATAAAAAGTAAACAAATATAAGTAAACAAATATCTTAGTACAGACTTTTAACCAACCCACGGTTGGACGGCAGTTGAGAAAATATTCCAGTTGATATTTTTTCCGAACCGTACCTCCTTGCCCGTCCACAACTCGCCAGTTCCAGTCTGATTAGAGAGAGAGAGAGAGATTAAAGTTGTGGTTGAGATCGAGAAAGTAGAGGATTCAAATGGATATTCGATTCCGAATCGGGAGCTTATTATTATTAACAACATCTCAGACTTTGTGGTCCTCTTCAAGGAATCAAACAGCTCTCATCAAACCCTGTTTTTCAAGGAAAAATCGACCCCAACAAAGTGGCGACAACGATGACGACGACGACAATAGCAGTGGTGGGTCATCTTTATATGTGTTTATTTGTTTTGGGTCTCTTGATTTTGAGATTTAGCTGTTGATTTTTTTGGATATGTGAACTCTGTACAATTTTATTAATTGGGTGTTTGAGATTCAAACTTGATTAGATTTTTTTGAAATTCAAATTGCTGAGTTGAACTACTTTGCTTGTTTTAGTGTAATCCCAAATGATGATTGGTTGTTTGATGGGTTGGGATCATCTGTCCACTTTTTTGTCCAGTGTTTTAGACAAAACAATTATGTATCCCTTACTATTGATGATGGGTGGGTACACTGATAGGTCAGGCCTGCTAGATAGTCTCTCCCTCTCTAGTGAACCCTCCCTTCTCTGCCCTCTCCGAGTGGCTGCCTCTCGCCACTCATATGCGTATAGGGTCCTTATACAATTCACACCCCGAAAAATGGAGTACTATATGCAAGTTATGATATTTTGTGTTGTTGATACACAAAGTGTCATAACCAAGCTACTTTCAATCATAACCAAACACCATTTGAGGCATAACCAAAGGCCTCTTCGGTTTTAACCTAAATAACAACTCCAATAGGTCATAACCAAGTCATAGCCGACACCCAAGGACGACAAAAGTAGTAACTGAGGGGTATATATATGATACACCCCTTTTTTGGGGTGTGTATTGTAGATTTTCCCTTATATTAAATAAGGTTAGTCTATTATGTTAGAAGAACATTAAAGCCAAAAACAAGTATGGAGAAGTATAATTACTTTCTATTTATTTGATTTGGTGTTTTGTTATTGACTAAATGTACAACTTTACTTATGAGAACCACTCTATACATATTTTCTCTTGTTGATCCCTTCAAAATCCTCTAATTATTAAGTATTTTTCTTATGGATTTGTTGAAATGTTCTCAAAAACTGAGTTTTTAATGCTTAAAACCCAAAATTTTGGGTTGTGATCTCTGTTTTTGTTATCCTTTTTGGTCTAGAGTTTTGAAATTTTTTTTGTTGGATTTATTTTCTGGTGTGGCCCAATAGCCTACATATCTTTTATATGTTTTATTTTATTTGGACTCCACAACTAGATAAAGCCAATATTTGAGATAAAGTTCAGTAATTAGAATTTTAAATATGGGGTAATTATTCTTCTAAGATAAGAAGGAAACCTTGATGGACAGGAATTCTTTCGATGAAGTTAATCTGGCCCTCTTCTCTTCTCTATTTAAGGATGGGTGACTCCCTTACATAATATGAGTATTTTTTCATCACTCAAAGTTTTATAGTCATCCTAATTAAGAGAGACAGAGAGAAGAAAGTGAGCCAAGAATTCAAGATTCAACTATTAGGGTCAACTTCTCTAATTCAATGGCTGACAGAGGTATGTTCATTTTATTCTTGAGATGTATTGAATTCAAGATTGTGTAAAGTTCAATTCCGCATTATTATGGTTACATGTACACAAGGTTTTAAAAAGCGGCCGCAACCGTTACATAACGCTATTACGTAACAGTTTTGGCGGTTACTGCCACCCGTTACGGCCGCTTTTACAGTATGATTGAGATTCACAGGTGTGTCGGCCGTAGCGGCTGCCGTGGCGGTGGTAACAGCGCCGTAACAGCTATAACGACCTGTTACGCACTGTTACGTAACGGTTCCAAACTGTTTCTTTCGAAAAAATACACAAAAAAAAGCTGAAAATAGGGGAAGAGGGATAGAGAGAAGAGGGAAGAGGGAAGATAAAGAGAGAAAATAGAGGAGCAAGAGATAGAGAGAGAGAGAGAGAAGAGGGAAGATGAAGAACATGTTATTGATTTGTTGAAACTATAAGACCTATGTTATTCTATTCAGCTGTTATCACTAAACCATTTTGTTTATGTGTGTCTATCTATATATTGTTTGAAAATAATAATAATAATAATAATAATAAGTGTAGTCATTATCTATTGGGCTTGGTTAAAATATGTATATATATATATTTATTTAGGCTCTTATTTATTCTCTTACTTTTGTCATTGTTTATCTTATATATAATAGTTAGTGATTGATTTTTTGTATAATATAAAGTCATTAATTATTAAAATAAAATGTAAAAAACTCAGTTTATAGTGATTTAAAAAAATGAAATATATTGGATCATACTTAAAAATTGACAAAAATTTATCAATATTTATTTTTAATCCAATAAATATGATCATGGAAAAAAAATATGCGCATCGGTAAGTTTTTTTCAAATTGTGCGAAAAATAAAAAAATTCACGGTTTCGGTTACTGCAACCGCAACCGCAACCGCGTCACCGCCACCGTTACAGCGACCGCAACCGCTTTTCAGAACCTTGCATGTACATTAATTTTTACATGTGGTATCAAAGCCTTAGTTTTGTGAATCAATACATCTTGGTGTAGACACTCCATTTTTGACCGCCCTTAAGACTTGGGCGCTACTGATGATTTATTTGGTGATGAAAGTTCTGTAGTGCAAAGGTTCGATTCCTTCGGCAAGAAGAGAGTCAAATCCTAATCTCACACCCCATATTGGACCAAAGCTATTTTGAATGGTTTTTAGACCTTCAAACCCTCTCTTTCAAAATATTTTTGAAATAAAGTTCCTACGATGTTCCGACGCTCGCATTTTGTTAAATGTTGCGCTTTTCGGTAAATCGAGCAAGGACAAAGTGGAAATGAATGAAAGGGAGATGAACTCTTTGAAAAATCTTTCAAAACATCTTGCTTAGGGGTTTGGAGTTGAAGAAAAGAGGAAAGGATAGAAGAAACCTAGTTGAGGAAGAAGTTGGGTATGAATCGTTAAGAGAGAGACGAGCAATCCTCGCCAAATCGGGCCTATCCTTTTGTATACTTGGATTTAAGCTATGAGGCCACCACCGTTGGAAAGAAGACTTCCGGGGCTTCATTTTACACTCAAGAATCTCCTAAAGCCGAGTCCGAATGGGGGAGATATGGTTGTTGGAAGTTGAGCATCAATCCGTTATGATCAAAACTGAGCAGTCTTCACTAAAAAATGCATAACTTTTTGTACAGTTGGAATTTTGATGTGAGTTTTTCACGATTGGAAAGTTTACTTCCGGGGCTTCAATTTGGACACAAGAATGACCTGAAAAGGAGTCCATATGAAGAAGTTATGTCCGTTTGAAGTTGGACCTGCAGAGCAGAATTTGCTATCGGCCACAAATGTGTGCAGTCGGCCAAAAAAGTAGCAGATCGGCCATCACAAATAGCAGATCGGCACTAAAGATGGCCGATCGGCCAAGAGTGACCCAAATTCATTTTTTTTGAAGATATTTCTCCTCCAGTTGTTTCCAGCTTGCTCCAGCTGTCCCAAATCAGATATTTTCGACCCAAGTTGATATTTTGCTATATATGAGAGCCTTATACTCATTTTCAAAGGGTTAGAACTTCTTAAGCAAGTTTGAGAGCTTCTCTCACTAAACTTCCTCTCTCTCTACAATCTTCAGAGCTTAATCTCTGCCTCTCTTTCTAGAGCCTCTCTCCCTTGCTCTTTTGTGCATAGAAGTGCATAGAAGTAGAGAAATACTCCTAGTTGGCCTAGGCATCCTTCATCAAAGTTGCATATCTATGGGTTGAGGTCCCTTCGAGCTTATTTTTGGATTGTTGGAAGGTCATTTGAGCCCGCAAAGAGGCCATTTTGCAGCTGTGCTTCAAGGGTAAGCATCTCCCTCTTTTAAGCTCATTTTTGTACACTATCTTGGCCACCTTTGCATGCTTGTTTTGCCACATTTTCAAACTGTTTTTGGCTTGGTTTTGAACAGAAGAAAGGTCTGATTTTCAGTCATAAAAATGTTGGTTTAAGCCTTGTTTGGCTAGGGGGTGTGTCCTCCCTTTTGCTCCTTGGCTTGTAAGGCCTTTTGAGCTAACTTTCAAGCTTTTCAAACAACTTCTTTTTGGCCTTAAAATCACTGAATTCCAGAGCAATTTCTGTGGTAGAAAACTTGATTTGAGGCTCAAAATAGGAGGGGGTGGTTCCCCCCTCCTCTTGTCTTGTTAGCATGTGTTGATGGCCAACCAAATGAGCATGTGTTTTTACTTCTCTGTGGCTTTGTTTAGGCTCATTTTTGTGACTTTTCAGACATGCCATAACTCTGTTTTTGGTTGTTTTGGTCACCTCTTGCATGCTTCATGCACTTGTAGTGTAAATCCTCTTTACTAGCCTTGTTAGCCTTACAAAGTAGCATGCTCTTGTGGTTTGAATTAGCTTAGTTCAAACATGTTTTTGATGTTATTTTGGCATGTTATAACTCTGATTTTGATTGGTGGGCTAACCTCTTGCATGCTTCATACACTTGTAGTTTAATCCTTGCTAGCTAGCCTTGCATACTTGTCTCCTTTGCCTATTATTCTAGCTCATTTTGGCTATACTCCAGCATGATTTTATTCACATCTTGGGCTGTTTTAGGACTGTTTTGGGCTGCCGTGGTCATTTGAGCCATGCTTTGTATAGCTATAATGCAAGTGCCTTCACTAGTCTTGAGTTTTGAGGCCACTAGCATGCCTTGTTTGTCATATGTGCATGGTTTGGCATCATTTGGAATGTAATTTCAGAGCTTATTTCATTGTCATACTCTCACATTTTCCACTCCTTCAATGTGTTTGAGAGTTGAGCTTTGTGCCTTCCTTGCGAGCCATCATTTGAGCATGCTTTTTCTTGCTTATCATGCTATCATTTCAGTCCATTTTAGCCACTGTTTTGGCATGCATGAGGACTGTTTGGGGTTGGTTTAGTCCATAGTCTTGAGTTTTGAGGCCACTAGCATGCCTTGTTGGTCATATGTGCATGGTTTGGCATCATTTGGAATGTAATTTTAGAGCTTATTTCATTGTCATACTCTCACATTTTCCACTCCATCAATGTGTTTGAGAGTTGAGCTTTGTGCCTTCCTTGCGAGCCATCATTTGAGCATGCTTTTTCTTGCTTATCATGCTATCATTTCAGTCCATTTTAGCCACTGTTTTGGCATGCATGAGGACTGTTTGGGGTTGGTTTAGTCCATTGAGCATTGTATTGCATGGTCCTAGTGTAAAGCTCTTTGCTAGTTTCAATGCTTACGTGTTCTAGCATGTTGTGCATGCGATGTTTGCATAGTAGAGTCTTGCATTTCATGCCACTTTAGCAATGAAAATCTGCTATCCTCCTCATTTCTTCGCTTTTGATTTGTTTTGAGGATTGGTTAGTCTTGAGTTTGAGTGTAATGCAAGGGATTGAGGCCTATGCTTAAATGGCTTCAACCCTCTTTTGAGGGTTACTCCTAGTCAAAGGCATTGGTCTCTCCCATGCCTTAAACCATTCTCTTTGATAGACCTCTCTCTCATTAGAGGACTCTCATATTTGGACAAGTTGATTAATGAATGGATTGGTAATGTTAAAATGTGTAAACAAAATCAATCAAGTAAAATGTGCCAAGATAAGCATGTTGCATGTGTACATTGCATTGTGTTCAACCGGACGTTATGTTGAACACAAAGTGAATTGGTCCATTTCATACTTGAAGTGATGAAAATGGGCCAATCCCCTTTGTCCCCATTGCCTTTGATTATCCATGATAAGGTTGTGGTCTTAGTGTCTTGTTTGTTGTGCATTCATCAACCTTGTGCAAACTTGGCTTCTTTGGCCATCATGCATTGAGATGCGTGATTGATGGCCCGAGAGTCGAGTACCGTACTCCTTTGAGCTTGAGAAATATAGGGAGGGTGGTTGTGCACACATATCTTGCAAATGCACTGCCATGCCTTCCCCTTTGTCCCCATTGCCTTTGATTATCCATGATAAGGTTGTGGTCTTAGTGTCTTGTTTGTTGTGCATTCATCAACCTTGTGCAAACTTGGCTTCTTTGGCCATCATGCATTGAGATGCGTGATTGATGGCCCGAGAGTCGAGTACCGTACTCCCTTGAGCTTAAGAAATATAGGGAGGGTGGTTGTGCACACATACCTTGCAAATGCACTGCCATGCCTCTGTTTGTGCTCTGTTGCAGCAAAAAGGAGAAATTGCAGGAAGCAGTAGCCGACCGACCATCAAAGTCTGCCGATCGGCTACAAAATTGGCCGATGATCATTTTCTTCCGCCGATGGCCTTTCCTCTTGGCCGACCACCCCTCAGAAGGTTCATAAGGTGGGTCAGAAGTATCTTGGAGGTTGGCATAGTTTTCAGAAGTCTAAAACAGTGCAAACAGAGGCATCACGAGGCACGGTAGTGAATTTTTGAGCGAAGCCGACCGAGCATGCATCTTTTCATCGCCCGTGAGGCCATTTCATTGCTTATGTTTAGTTCGTACAACTAGCCATTTGATTTGTTTTGTAATATTCTAATTAGCTTAGTATAGCTATTTGTTTCAATTTGGATTGTAATATTTAATTAGTTAGAATTAGTTAATTAGTTTACTTGTAATAATTAGCTTAGCTTAGCTAGCTTAGCTTATTATTCGGACCCTCCGTCGAGATGGCGAACTGTTGTAATAAGTATGCGTGTGTGTGATGCATGTCTTCCAACCCCCATTTCTTTTTCCCTTTTATTTACCTGCTTTCAGTGGTTAGTTTTAGGGCATGTTTCAATTAACATCCTTATGCTCGCATGTTTGCATTCATTCATCTGTCTTGCATGCACCGGGCTCGGCGCATCATACTAACTGCATTGTATTTCAATACCAATTTGAATACATGTTATCAAGTTGCATTAACATGACATCTTGGAATAGTCGAGCTTATTTTAGTTGCATTTTTGCATGTGTTGCATTAAGCATTGTTGACATAGCTAGGATCATGCATTGATTACTAACTAGCTTCTTTTTTTTGGCTCGGAGTACACTGTGACTATTTATGTTTTAACATCCTTGCATGTGTATAAGTGATTGTCATGATAGCATGCTTGCCATGAGGCTATTTGCTTAACTGCTATAACTGCATGAATGCCTGTGGATGAAGGTTGGATTGCTTGAATTGGAACAATTCATCAAAATGCGAGTTTTAAAGCTCACTTGAAGTGGCAAATCTCCATGTTTTCTAAGCCCGCTTGAGGGTGGCAAAATCCGCGTCTTAGCCTACTTGCGAGTAGCACCTCCAAACCATTTTCAAACAAACAAGCATAAGATGTTTTGTTCCAATTTAGGCGATCTAGTCTATACTTGTGTGCTGTGCGCATCACGTAGTAAGATTAGCTAATAAACCGGAATAAGAACAGATGTGTTTTCAAAAAAAACATATCATGTTAGTAAAGGCCGATCTTTGATCGAGTGAGGGGGGTGCTCATTGCATGACCTTCCCTTCTCGTACCCAAGTTCCCGAGCCGAGGCAACTTTGGTGATGACGGATACGTTGCTTTAGGCATGAGTCAGGGTTTCCTAAATTTTTCAAAATAAAACATTTAGGTGGCGACTCTGTAATTTGGCAAAGCAGTCCATATTTGACACTTCTTTATTAAAATCGATTTTCTAAAACGATTTGCCGGATTTGGACTCTTTGGTGATTTATCGGTCTCACATTGCACTTTGTGAGATTAGATTCACAACCATGACACGAGTCCGAACTGTAGTAGCTAGAACAAACGATTCGCGCCCTCGCGTGTGGAGCGGAGTTCCCCGGCGGTCTACACTTGGAGTAATAATATATTTATGATACTGTTATTATAATTATTAATAAACGGTACCTTCATTTTATTATCTGTATTGACTTTTAAAATATTATTTTAAAAGCAAAGTCTCAATTATTTGATCTTTACATGTGGGAACTATTCTTTTACTCTTTTGCTTAATGTTTGAACATGCTTTCTTCCATGTATACAGTGCATTTTGTTTTTTAAAAAGCAGCAGTAATGTCTCTGTTTCTAATTCTTGCAAGTATTGGGGTGACGACGTTGCTTTAGAATTTTTATCCTTGACTTAATAAACATGTAATATGCATGCTTTGATTTATTATTAATTTTAGTAATAATTTTTATAATCATGATAATATGACACTGGATTGAGTGTAATTTTTATATTGCTTGTCGTTATAACAAAGTGCATAGATTAAAAACAATTTTAGAATTTTGTTCAATCGTTCGGTAATTATGTTTTTACCTTGTCTGATTATGTACACTTGTTGTCTATTATTATTGATATTATATATTTTCATGATTTAAATTTGATGTCATGATATAATTTTATGACATTGAATATTAGATATTGAAGTGGTTAATTCATATTAGGTATAATTCTTATTGACCATTATATGAGATATTTATGATTGTCATATTTCATAATTTGATATACATATATATATATAAATATATTCATGTTCATCTAGAGTTATTATTATTATCATGTTGGTAATTGCAATCACATAAAGAAATTCTAAAAATCATAAAATAGTGATTGAATTAATGATAATTAAATAACTCAAATTAATGAATAGAGAATATTGTTGATTAGTTTCGTATTCATAGGGTTTACGAATTTAGTAACTGCCAAAGTGGCTTAGATTTGTAAAACTTATGAATATAGAACTACATGAAAGAATTGTTAAAAGGGTAACATTAAGGTCGATAATATTCTCACTTGCAGTTATAATTAGGAGATTAAGACTAGCCCAAAGGAGAGTCACTTTCAAATAATTATGAATTGGGTAGGGTAATGTAACTTATGTAATTTGACAGAGTAGAATTGAATACCCAAAG